ACTCCCTTACAAACTCCTTTCCCTTTGAAATGTTCATCATTTCACTTTCACTTATCAAGTATTTTCAGATCAGGGCAGATTAGAGGTAGCAAGTTTTCTGAATGGAATCTAGCCAAGGATATTCCTCTAGTTTGTTAGGCCGGGATCAAATTCTTTACAAATCCATTTCTCCTTCTCTCCATCCTTGAAATAATTGATCTGCCAAGTTTTGCTTGGTGAACAGAATAGAATAGAAACAGCTTTCACTTTTACAATCAATGATTACCTCAAGTGAGGTACAAAACAATGCTTAAAACAGGGCCACAATCATCCAACTGAGGCAATAATTTTCAGATGATTTCTGAGGTAAACTTTTAGTTTCACCAGCCATAACCTCACTCATCATCAGGCTCAGAATAGCTTTCTTCATCAGACCTATACAGACAGATTCTCAGGTGTCGGCCTCTTTTCATGCTCAACATTTGCCTTAACGTAAAATTAATAAACTCTTTGAGACAAGCTTGTTATGTGAGTTTTAATAGATGAGGTGTGTCTGTGTATGTTTAGACATTAAAGGCTTAAAGAAGAGTTGCTCATTTTAAACATCTGTGATTAGTAAGCATCCTAATTCCTCTTGATCTTATTTTAAAATCCCATCTGGTACATAGAATTGATTAGAAGAACAAACAATGATGCAAATACAGTACCAGTCAAAAGTTTGGACACACCTACTCATTCAAGGTTTCTTCTTTCTTTTTACGTTCTAGAATAATAGTGAATACATCAAAACTATGAAATAACACATGGAATCATGTAGTAACCAAAAAAGTGTTAAACAAATAAAAATATATTTTATATTTGAGATTCTTCAAATAGCTACCGTTTGCCTTGATAACAGCTTTGCACACTCTTGGCATTCTCTCAACCAGCTTCAATATATTTCAATTACCAGGTGTGCCTTCTTAAAAAGTTAATTTGTGGAATTTCTTTCCTTCTTAATGTGTTTGAGCCAATCAGTTGTGTTGTGACGAGGTGGGGGGGGGGGGGGTATACAGAAGATACAGTGGGGGAAAAAAGTATTTAGTCAGCCACCAATTGTGCAAAAAATCCAGAAAATCACATTGTAGGATTTTTAATTAATTTATTTGCAAATTATGGTGGAAAATAAGTATTTGGTCAATAACAAAGGTTTCTCAATACTTTGTTATATACCCTTTGTTGGCAATGACACAGGTCAAACGTTTTCCGTAAGTCTTCACAAGGTTTTCACACACTGTTGCTGGTATTTTGGCCCATTCCTCCATGCAGATCTCCTCTAGAGCAGTGATGTTTTGGGGCTGTCGCTGGGCAACACGGACTTTCAACTCCCTCCAAAGATTTTCTATGGGGTTGAGATCTGGAGACTGGCTAGGCCACTCCAGGACCTTGAAATGCTTCTTACGAAGCCACTCCTTCGTTGCCCGGGCGGTGTGTTTGGGATCATTGTCATGCTGAAAGACCCAGCCACGTTTCATCTTCAATGCCCTTGCTGACGGAAGGAGGTTTTCACTCAAAATCTCACGATACATGGCCCCATTCATTCTTTCCTTTACACGGATCAGTCGTCCTGGTCCCTTTGCAGAAAAACAGCCCCAAAGCATGATGTTTCCACCCCCATGCTTCACAGTAGGTATGGTGTTCTTTGGATGCAACTCAGCATTCTTTGTCCTCCCAAACACGAAGAGTTGAGTTTTTACCAAAAAGTTCTATTTTGGTTTCATCTGACCATATGACATTCTCCCAATCCTCTTCTGGATCATCCAAATGCACTCTAGCAAACTTCAGACGGGCCTGGACATGTACTGGCTTAAGCAGGGGGACACGTCTGGCACTGCAGGATTTGAGTCCCTGGCGGTGTAGTGTGTTACTGATGGTAGGCTTTGTTACTTTGGTCCCAGCTCTCTGCAGGTCATTCACTAGGTCCCCCCGTGTGGTTCTGGGATTTTTGCTTGTGATCATTTTGACCCCACGGGGTGAGATCTTGCGTGGAGCCCCAGATCGAGGGAGATTATCAGTGGTCTTGTATGTCTTCCATTTCCTAATAATTGCTCCCACAGTTGATTTCTTCAAACCAAGCTGCTTACCTATTGCAGATTCAGTCTTCCCAGCCTGGTGCAGGTCTACAATTTTGTTTCTGGTGTCCTTTGACAGCTCTTTGGTCTTGGCCATAGTGGAGTTTGGAGTGTGACTGTTTGAGGTTGTGGACAGGTGTCTTTTATACTGATAACAAGTTCAAACAGGTGCCATTAATACAGGTAACAAGTGGAAGACAGAGGAGCCTCTTAAAGAAGAAGTTACAGGTCTGTGAGAGCCAGAAATCTTGCTTGTTTGTAGGTGACCAAATACTTATTTTCCACCATAATTTGCAAACAAATTCATAAAAAATCCTACAATGTGATTTTCTGGTAAAAAATTCTCAATTTGTCTGTCATAGTTGACGTGTACCTATGATGAAAATTACAGGCCTCTCTCATCTTTTTAAGTGGGAGAACTTGCACAATTGGTGGCTGACTAAATACTTTTTTTCCCCACTGTAGCCCTATTTGGTAAAATACCAAGTCCATATTATGGCAGCTCAAATAAGCAAAGAGAAACGACAGTCCATCATTACTTTAAAACATGAAGGTCAGTCAATATGGAACATTTCAAGAACTTTGAACGTTTCTTCAAGTTCAGTCGCAGAAACCATCAAGCGCTATGATAAAACTGGCTCTCGTGAGGACCGCCACAGGAATGGAAGACCCAGAGTTACCTCTGCTGCAGAGGATAAGTTCATTAGAGTTACCAGCCTCAGAAATTGCAGCCCAAATAAATGCTTAACAGAGTTCAAGTCACAGACACATCTCAACATCAACTGTTCAGAGGGGAATGTGTGAATCAGGCCTTCATGGTTGAATCGCTGCAAAGAAACCACTACTAAAGGACACCAATAATAAGAAGAGACCTGCTTGGGCCAAGAAACAAAAGCAATGGACATTAGACTGGTGAAGTAAAAGTAAAAGTTGGTTCCAACCGCTGTGGCTTTGTGAGACGCGGTGTGGGTGAACAGAAGATCTCTGCATGTGTAGTTCCCAACGTAAAGCATGGAGCATGGAGGAGGAGGTGTTATGGTGTGGAGGTGCTTTGCTGGTGACACTGATTTATTTAGAATTCAAGGCACACTTAACCAGCATGGCTACCACAGCATTCTGCAGCGATATGCCATCCCATCTGGTTTGGACTTAGTGGGACTATCATTTGTTTTTCAACAGGACAATGACCCAACACACCTCCAGGCTGGTTAAGGGCTATTTTACCAAGAAGGAGAGTGATGGAGTGCTGCACCAGATAACCTGGCCTCCAAAATCCCCCGACCTCAACCAAATTGAGATGGTTTGGGATGAGTCGGACCGCAGAGTGAAGGAAAAGCAGCTAACAAGTGCTCAGCATATATGGGAACTCCTTCAAGACTGTTGGAAAAGCATTCCAGGTGAAGTTGGTTGAGAGAATGCCAAGTGTGCAAAGCTGTCATCAAGGCAAAGGGTGGCTATTTGAAGAATCTCAAATATAAAATATATCTTGATTTGTTTAACACTTTTTTAGTTACTACATGATTCCATATGTTATTTCATCGTTTTGATGTCTTCACTTATATTCTACAATGTAGAACATTGTAAAAATAAAGAAAAACCCTTGAATGAGTTGGTGTGTCCAAACTTTTGACTTGTATTGTAGAATTACCTTTTGTTGTTACAAATTGTCTAACGTAACTACTACCTCAACTACCACAACCCCCAGGAATGTGTGCAAGGTAAGAAACCAGCAGCTTGTTTCACCCCATCATAAACCTCACTAGCTATTCTGTCAACCTGCTTTACTGGTGAGACATCTCAAATAAACAGCAGGAAATCATGTGACGTTAGTTAAATAATACATTTAATGAATGAAAGGTCAATGGACAAACACATCAGTCACAAGTCATACTTATAGTGTCATGAGTAGTTGAAACAAAAAGCATTTTCAGTCAATTTAATATCACAAATGATATTAGGGTTAGTGAGGTAAATGTGATACAACATGCAGGACAGCTACAACTTCAACAATCTAGAGGGAATGTGATACAACATGCAGGACAGCTACAAATTCAACAATCTAGAGGCAATGTGATACAACATGCAGGACAGCTACAACTTCAACAATCTAGAGGGAATGTGATACAACATGCAGGACAGCTACAACTTCAACAATCTAGAGGGAATGTGATACAACATGCAGGACAGCTACAAATTTAACAATCTAGAGGGAATGTGATACAACATGCAGGACAGCTACAACTTCAACAATCTAGAGGGAATGTGATACAACATGCAGGACAGCTACAACTTCAACAATCTAGAGGGAATGTGATACAACATGCAGGACAGCTACAACTTCAACAATCTAGAGGGAATGTGATACAACATGCAGGACAGCTACAAATTCAACAATCTAGAGGGAATGTGATACAACATGCAGGACAGCTACAACTTCAACAATCTAGAGGGAATGGTCTTCGAATAAATACAAATGGTCTTACACATATTCTTAAATAAAAGGTACACTGTCATAAACCTACAATGCTCCAATGGAAACTCCAATATGTCTCTCTCTGCACTCTGTTAGGAATGTAGAAACTCCAATATGTCTCTCTCTGCACTCTGTTAGGAATGTATTGAACCTGATCTCTCTGCTATGAGACACCGATTTTATTTTTTTGTGATAGTGGTACGACACACTATTGAAACTGTAATTGGGATGTATTGATTTAGTTAATACTATTATTCCATGAAGATGTTCTGTAATTATTATTAATTTTTTAGTCATTTAGCAGACGCTCTTATCCAGAGCGACTTACAGGAGCAATTAGGGTTAAGTGCCTTGCTCAAGGCACATCGACAGATGTTTCACCTCGTCGGCTCGGGGATTAGAACCAGCGACCTTTCGGTTACTGGCACAATGCTCTTAACCACTAAGCTACCTGCCGCCCAGAATCTTTACCAGTGTGGGTAGTTCCATTTCCTAAGTCCATGCTGAGCATATCTCTATAACTACTGGTCTATATTTACATTTGCACACAGACAACACTATGCATCCACCACATATAGCAACATCACTGAATTCCCATCCTATGGTTCCCATTGGGAGTGGTCAAAGTTTGTGGGTGTTGTTGTACAACAGACATTTATTTTTATGGGTAATCAGCATAGGATCTTCAAGGTTTGGTGGTGCTGGTGCATGCCAGGTTGTGTTCAGCTCAGTGCGAGAAAGGGGGATTGTGGGAAGGGGAACAGAGGGCCCCACGTTAACAGGTCACGGCCACGGCGAAAACACTCACCACACAGTACATGGTGCGGTTCTCCCACCTGACCGTGCAGCTTCCTGTGGGAGGACACCACAAAGACCAATCAGGTCAACCCACTAGATCTCAACCAATCAGAGGGAACACAACATCAGAACCAATTTGGACACACAAAATACAGTCCAACACATGTGGCTTCTTCAGTGGAGAGCAACGTTTCAAAACATATACAGATAGAAACAGAGCATGACCAGATTCCTGTTCTCAGAAAATCACAGGGAATCATGTAAGTCCAATACAATACCTCTCTATTAGAGCCCGACCTATATGGTTTTTTTGGGTCCAATACCAATTCCGATTTTGGGGGGGAGAAAACGTACCAATATATCTGCCGACATACTATTTTACAGTGGGAAAATGACACAATAATGAAACTAGGGCTGAACCCATTTAGTCGACTGGTCGATTGTTTGGTCGATAGGCTGTTGGTCGACTGAGATTTCTTTAGTCGAGCAGTAGCAATAAAAAATTAAAATAATAATCATGGTGTACAAGACTGATTGGCTCCTGTCTGAGTGGACTGATCCACTGTGGAGGCCGTTGGGATGGCACAGTCCATCGGTCTAAGACGTGCTACTGAAAATGTAATATGGTAATATTATGTAACAACAACGGTACAACACAAATAACAATTATAATATTTTATAACAAGGGCGCTTTCTGCTGCGTTGGATAGTGGTCGCTGTCTGTGGTTCTGAAACACATCAGTGCGCTGTTAAATTGGCGCATTTTCCTAGACCATGTTGCTATGTGCATAAGCATACATGTGTCATGTAAAGAGAGCAAGGGTTGAGGGAATAGGGAATGTTTTTCCTAAACAAATTAGGGATTTTGGCAACATCACCTTTCAGTCAGAAATGGCTGTAATTATGTTGCAGCTTCAGCAACACAGACAGCGCTGTACACACTGATGTTCTGTGGTGGACATCAAACAGTTCGCTTAAAGCATCAGACAAGCTCAGTGCATATAGTTGATTTCATTAAAACACATATTGATTTGATTGAAACTCTATATGGAAAAATACACGTTTTAAAATGTTGACCAATCGATTGGTCAAAAGAACAGACGACTCTTGGTCAACCAAGATTTTTTTCAGTCGGGGCCAGCCCTAAATGAAACATCATGAGAATGGACTCAAGTGTTCAGATAAGAATGAGATTCCCTTTTTTCATCCTATTTATTAAATATCGGTTATCGGTGGAATTATCGCCGATACAGATATAGCGCTAATAAGCCAATATCGGTCGGGCTCTACTTTGTTGCACCCTTCTGAATAAGCCAAAATATAATACCCTGTTCATCAGCACAACAAAAGCAAATGCCTGTTCAAAGGTTAGTACAGTATGCGTGGGGTTTTCCTCTCTCTCACCATCAGTAGCAGTGTCCCAGTAGCAGGAGTTAGCCGTGTGGAGACCAGCACCACTCTTCTGCATGATGGCACAGTTCACTGGAACACAAGACAATGTTGAAGATACATTTCCTGCTGTAAGCATTCTGTCATGCACAGGGCCTTGCTCCTGGTCACAAAAGGCTATCATACAGCTGTCATACAGATATTATCCTCTATCATTCAGCTTTCATACCACTGTCATACAGCTATCATACTGCTATTATAAAGCTTTTATACAGCCCTTTGCGACCGGGAGCACGCACAGGGCCCATCATCCAGCTTGTTAAGGGTGGAGTAGAGAAGCCTTCTTCTAATGGATAACAACAACTTCAACTTTTAGTGCATCTATGTTCTCTCACCACTTCGATGTGACTAATTTTTGACTGACTCTTGTAATACCATAGCTTCCTTGTGTTATATCATCATTATATAATTTACATTTACATTTTAGTCATTTAGCATCATACCTATGAACTTGAATGGTCTCCCTTGCTTGACCAGCTGGGTGAGAGAGTGCTCCACGATGCTGGCAGTCCACTGGTTCACTTTGTTCTGGTTGTAGTCTATTCCTCCAATGATACCTTCGATACACTGAGACAACGACACCAGACAGTCAGCAAGGGAAACAACACAGTCAAGCAGCTATGAAGGGATAATCACAGTGGTTTTGATCATCTTTACCTACCAAGAAATAAGACTGTTGAGAAACATGTTTCAAAGATCCCCTTACCTCTTTAACAGAGACACTGGCCTCATCTGCGTTGAAGGACACCTGTGATTCCAAACGATATCAAAAATATATAAAAATAGTAATTATGAAAAACATTTAACATGAAAACAAGAGGGGATTACTTTGTTATGATATAACTCAAAACAAAAGCTTGTGCTGTTGGGCATTCATTCACACAAAAGGAGCTGGAGCTGACCTAGTTTCTCCTGGCTACTTGCACAACAAATCAGGGTACACAGACAGACAGCCAGTCCACTCTGTGAGATCTTAGTCAACACTATAGCTGTCAAGACTGGATATCAAAGGCTTTCAGGCAAGCCCCGGGAGGAAGGGCTGCTACAATAAACTCATAGCTAACTGTTGATAGGATCTTCAGAATAACTTGCACTGAGATTATGGGTATTGCAGCCTGCTGCTGTATAAACAGGGTAGTGATTTCTGGAAGATTTCTAGCTAAGTAGATTCAACGATACATATATACACTCTTAGAAAAAAAGGTGCTATGTAGAACCTAAACGGTTATTCGGCTGTCCCTATAGGTTACACATGGAACCCAAAAGAGTTCAACCTGGAACCAAAAATAGTTATCCTATGGGGACAGCCGAAGAACCCTTTTTTCTATGACTGTACACACCGGGTTACTTCAGCTGCATTATACTGTAGATATGCCTATGCTGAATGTTGACAGATGCTTGCGCGCTACTAATCAAGTCCTGCCCAGCCCAGTCTCAATGATTGGACCACACCCAGCTAGATGGTCCTCTGTAGCTCAATTGGTAGAGCATGGCGCTTGTAACGCCAGGGTAGTGGGTTAGATCCCCGGGATCACCCATACGTAAAAATGTATGCGCACATGACTGTAAGTCACTTTGGATAAAAGCGTCTGCTAAATGGCTTATTATTATTATAGCTAGCTGCTAAACTTATCAATTTCCCACATGCAATAATATGACATAATTTGCATGACAAATGTTTACAAGGTGTATATTATCGTTAGTTTCATTTGACTACTTAAATACTCATGTCCTCGCTAGTGACGTTTTCTAAGCCAGCACCCTCAATGCAGTGCATGCTAACGTTAGCTAGCTAGCTAGCTGACCATTCATCTAGCTAACTCGGCCGATTGATATCAGGGTCAAAGTCTGAAATAATACATATATATCTAGCTTAATGCACAATCTACCTCCTCTCCGGAATTGTACTCCTCCATTGCTTTAAAAGCTAAATTCTCCAAGGTTTTTCACCGACTCTGCTGTTGTTTCTGATTAGCTGTCACCGAGATGGAGATAATCAAAGACAGCGACTCAGTGAGCCAAGACACACCCACAACGACTGCAAGTGAGAGCAGTAGATTATATTTACTGCCACCTGGCGGTGAGAGGTGTAATCGGGATTTTCTGGAAGCAAACGGAAGAAGTGGATCATAACTAGGCTGTAAAGAATCAACAATTGTTTTATCCACAGAGATCCTATAATTCATTGGTGGTGATATAGTGGTAAACAATGTTATATGTACTTTTTTATTTTATTGTAATGTTTGTTTATTGTTATTATTTGATTGGTATGTTTTTGTGTGTTTTATATTGTGTTGTTCACCGAGGTTGGGGATTGTGTGGAGCCGCCAGGGGCAGTGTTGCCAACTAACTTTCAGGGGAAGTTGCTAGAGGCAGGTCGATTTGTTGCTAAAAGTTGCTACATTACATTGCGCGATGACGTCATTATGTAATAACGTAAAACTGCGTCATTACGTAGAATACACAATAACGTTACTCAAATTGACTGGACATCTCGGCGAATTTTTTTTTGTTGACATTTGTTAGTTTAGATTTGTTTGTTTATTATCACATATTTTTATTTGTAAAAGTAGTATAAACACAACACATTTTATATGATCAGATATTTTTATTTTTAAACACAACACATTGAATTGTTGAACAAGTACACATTACACATTATTGAACAATTACATTTTATTTATTTTCTTATTAACTAGTAAACCTACACATCCTGAACAATTATAGCAGTGTATTGGTAGTTAGTTAACATGCTACCTAACTGATCAACAATTATAGATACAAGCTAATAACAAGCTCTCCAGCTCTCTCCGGGTTGTTGTGCTGCTTGGCTGGCCTGCTGCTGCCTGTGCATGAGCTGAGCGCCTGCTGCTGACGTCACTCACAATGCACTTTTGCAGCCAGGCACGTGTGTTGTGACTGAGTGTGTGACAGAGAAAATCGTTGTTGTGTCATTTAGAGTGGAACATGTGTGCATTTAAGCGTTTGAGTCACTTTTCAAAAGTTGCTAAAAGTACAAAATACATTTTTTAAAGTAGCTAAATTTGTTGCTAGTTGCGGTTTGAAAAAAAAGTCTGGTAGTCTGAAAAGTTGCTAAATCTAGCAACAAAATTGCAAAGTTGACATCACTGTACTAGTGGTGCGTTTGTGATGGAGGGTGGGGTGGGAGGGGGGGTTGTTTATTTTTTTTTTTAATTTTTATATAGATTTTTTAAATTGATCTAATAAAAACAATTGTTCACAAAAATGAGATCATATAATTCAGTGTTCTATGTAATTCTATAATTTTATCCCCGGAACAGCTAAGGGTAGAACTAGGGTACGCTACCACAATCTGACCCGATCTGGACAACTTCTACCTCAAGCTTTTAACACACACACACGCACAAAGAAATACACATAGGCTACATGCACACACAGAGAGAAAAAAAGGGGGGAAAGAAACAGAGAGAGAGAGAGAGTTAGAGAGAGAGAGAGAGAGAGAGAGAGAGAGAGAGAGAGAGGGTTATAGAACCCATTGCCTTTATGGTTGTGAGGTCTGGGGTCCGCTCACCAACCAAGAATTCACAAAATGGGACAAACACCAAACTGAGACTGCATGCAGAATTCTGCAAAAATATCCTCCATGTACAACGAAAAACACAAAATAATGCATGCAGAACAGAATTAGGCCAATACCTTCTAATTATCAAAATCCAGAAAAGAGCCGTTAAATTCTACAACCACTTAAAAGGAAGCGATTCTCAAACCTTCCAAAACAAAGCCATCACCTACAGAGAGATGAACTTGGAGAAGAGCCCCCTAAGAAAGCTGGTCCTGGGGCTCTGTTCACAAACACAAACAGACCCCACACAGCCCCAGGACAACAACACAATTAGACCCAACCAAATCATGAGAAAACAAAAAGAGAATTACTTGACACATTGGAAAGAATTAACAAAAAAACTGAGCAAACTAGAATGCTATTTGGCCCTAAACTGAGAGTACACAGTGGCAGAATACCTGACCACTGTGACTGACCCAAACTTAAGGAAAGCTTTGACTACTCAGTGAGCATAGCCTTGCTATTGAGAAAGGCCGCCGTATGCAGACCTGGCTCTCAAGAGAAGACAGGCTATGTGCACACTGCCCACAAAATGAGGTGGAAACTGAGCTGCACTTCCTAACCTCCTGCCAAATGTATGACCATATTAGAGACACATTTTTCCCTCAGATTACACAGATCCACAAAGAATTCGAAAACAAACCCAATTTTGATAAACTCCCTTATCTACTGGGTGAAATACCACAGTGTGCCATCACAGCAGCAAGATTTGTGACCTGTTGCCACAAGAAAAGGGCAACCAGTGAAGAACAAACACCATTTTAAATACAACCCATATTTATGTTTATTTATTTTCCCATTTATACTTTAACTATTTGCACATTGTTACAACACTGTATATATATATACATAATATGACATTTGAAATGTCTTTATTCTTTTGGAACTTCTAAGTGTAATGTTTATTGTTAATATTTATTGTTTATTTCACTTTTGTTTACTATCTACTTCACTTGCTTTGGCAATGTTAACATACGTTTCCCATGCCAATAAAGCCCTTAAATTGAAAATTGAAATTGAGAGAGAGAGAGAGAGAGAGAGAGAGAGAGAGAGAGAGAGAGAGAGAGAGAGAGAGAGAGAGAGAGAGAGAGAAATCTGAACAAATCATTTGATACTGCAGCATGACTTATTGAGTCAATAGGAAATGATTAGGATATTCAATATCACGGTACATTGCCACTGGAGAAATAAAAGCCTTAATGGGGTTAATCGATAGACAGCAGAGAAGCTGCCCCAGCTGTCTCTCTGAAACCGTGACCACGCCCCCTACACACGGGAGCACCGGGCTGCAGCGCGGAACTGGGCTGTTGATACCACAGCTGTGGTCAAAAGCCACAGAGGCGCGCCAAGAGACGGACTGACTGCACAGGCTCCTCCACCAGCCACTCTCACGACACCACTTGCTGTAGTGCAATTCTCAGGTAAGAGGTGTTTTCTTTTGCAATCCTTAAAGAAACGTTGTAATTTTCTGATGGTGGTTGTGTGAAACATGCACTGCGGTGTCCCATAATGACTCTGAGAAGGGAATTCCCGACGAAGAGGTAACAAGCGACAGAGACCACAGCCATTCCCAACGCGATAGCATTATCATAGTGGTTAAAACTGATAGGATAGACTACACTACAGGCAGTTTTTGCTACTAATTGCGGTAAGACTATATTCATTGATTTCATATTGTAACTGTTACAAACATTCAAAATAATTTTATGATGGAATATTCATTTAATAATATAGTCATTATAAAATTATACGTTTCAGTTCAAGTGAGGTCTCAACTAACCTACATCCGCATGTAAAGTTAGCAGCGTTTCTTTGGACAGGTGCAATGCAGCAAAATGTTTTTTTTTGTGCTGTCCACCCACGTGAAAAAGACTATAGTATACTATGTTATAAATACTGTAGTATTACTATATTTATATACTATAGTATTCACTGTAGCCTAGTGTTTTTTTAAAAACTTTACTGTAGTATTAACCTAACGTAGCAGGGGTAAAAGAAATGCCTGAAACTAGAACCTGTACATACTGGTCTTGACAAGAACAAAAAATACTGTCGGGAAAGGTTCTCTTCTGCACTGTTCAACCAATCCAGGAAAATGTGAAAGAAGAGTTAAGATGGAGTGTCGCCTTGTTAACGTCCAAAAGCTGAAGTTGCTCCCTTTCTATTTCCCCTGAAAACCGGAACATCCGGTTGTTAGGGACTCGGCAGAGGCTACAGTAGTATTTTTGCGCAAAAACACTTAAAAAAAGAAAGAGAAAGATAAATGTTGTTTTGTCACATACACTGGATAGGTGCAGTAAAATGTGTTGTTTTAAAGGGTCAGCCATAAAGTGCCCCTGGAACAAATTAAGGGTAAGCGTCTTGGTCAGAGGCACATCGACACATTTTTCACCTTGCGTATACTGTATGTGGTTTCAATGAAATACAGTAGACTGCCTTTGTGTGGGTGGATAATCACGTGGCAGTTATCTTTCTAAGGAAATTAAATTAAATATGATTAGACTATAGTTTACTACAGTGTCTGTAAATAAATATTCATAATGGAAAGAAGTGGAGGGCGCTCAACCAACGTGAGTCGAGGTGCAATATATATATTTTTTATCATCATCGAAAAGGAAAAAGTGCAACGCGCGCATAGGTCACCATGGTGAGCGAGCCTTTTCATTTTCAATGGTGGAAAAGGACACAGGTGTCGTACTTGAGTAAAAGTAAAGATACCTTAATAGAAAATGACTCAAGTGAAAGTGAAAGTCACCCAGTAAAATACAACTTGACTAAAAGGCTATAAGTATTTGGTTTTAAAAATAATAAAGTATCAAAAGTAAATTGAATTTCTAAAATATACTTAAGTATCAAAAGTAAAAGTATAAATTATTTTAAATTTCTCATATTAAGCAAACCAGACAGCACCATTTTCTTGTTTTTTAAATTTAGGGAGCCAGGGGCAAACTTCAACACATAATTTACAAAGGAAGCATTTGTGTTTAGTGAGTCAGCCAGATCAGAGGCAGTAGGGATGACCAAGGGTGTTCTTTTGATAAGTGTGTGAATTTGACAATTTTCCTGTCCTGCTAAGCATTCAAAAGTATGCGTAATGAGTACTTTTGGGTGTCAGGGAAATGTATGGAGTAAAAAGTACATTATTTTCTTTAGGAATGTAGTGAAGTAAAAGTAAAAGTAGTCAAAAATATAAATAGTAAAGTACAGATTACTTAAGTATTTTACACCACTGAAATATTGATTACCCATTTATATGTTAGCCATTTATATGTCTCCGCCTGAAAGTCATCCTACTAGTCCCGTGTAGCTCAGTTGGTAGAGCATGGTACTTGCAACGGCAGGGTTGTGGGTTCGATTCCCACAGTGGGACAGTATATATATTTTTTGTTTTTTTATGTATGCACTCACTAACTGTAAGTCG